GGGAGTCTCCTTCCCCCTGTCCCTCTGCTCCTCCCCTCGTTCCGCGCACTCTCTCTCAAATAAAATCTTAAAAAAACAAAAACAAAAAACAAAAGACTCTCCTATTACCCTTATCACTCAAGAAATTCCAAGAGTTTTAGGAGCTCTATGCCAGAACAAGGGACAAAGACCAAAGTATCTTTCTATGACGCCACGTTCATATTTTTTAATAGTACAAGACTGGTGATTTGGTCATCTTTTACATACACACCCAAACCCCTCCTCTTTTGAGTTATCACTATACATTTTGCACAGCACTTCAAGCCATCTTTTCTACATTTTATGGTTGTCTTAGACACATCTTTTAAGCAAATGTCAGTATAATGAAGGAGACCTGGGCTGTTACAGGATATTTTAGTCCAATTTCTTAATTTATCCAATTTATTCCAGGTTAAAATAAGAAAAGTAAACTGTTATTGCAGGGGTAGTTTGCACTACACAATTTCAAATTTATCACGCACTACTTCAAGTGTATTATTTCACTTTCTGTAACTCTCCTGTCCTGACCCTTACCCCATTCTACAGCAGGACAGTAAGTTCCCTAAAGATGGGGCAATTCTTTTGTTCCTTTTCAGGTCATATAATTTTTATTGTGGATCTTGGATTTTCTTTTCTTTTCTTTTCTTTTCTTTTCTTTTCTTTTCTTTTCTTTTCTTTTATCTTTCTTTCTTTCTTTTAATTTAAGATTTTACTTATTTATTCATGGGAGACACAGAGAGAGGCAGAGACATAGGTGGAGGGAGAAGCAGGCTCCATGTGGGAGCCTGATGCAGGACTCGACCCCAGGACCCCGGGATCACAACCTGAGCCAAAGGCAGACAGATGCTCAATCACTGAGCCACCCAGCTGCCCCAGATCTTGGATTTCCAATAAATATTTACTGATGGGTACCTTGAAGAGGCCCGCTAATAGAGGAAGTAAGCCACGGGATCTTTATCCTTAACCTATACATACTCATAAGCCTTTTAAAAAGAATGTTATTGACTACTTTTCCTTCTTATTCTAAAAATTATAATGTAAATGAATGTACATGTACTGGATTGATATCTAGAGATGGAATAATGTATTAGTTCTGTTAGAAATAAATGTGATTTGTTAGATGTTTTCTGACAGAACTAGGTTTGGGGAAATGTGATATCATTTATGGTAACTTCCAAATCAAAAAACAATATTCTATACTAGCATGAAATTGGGTGGCGTATACCTAATTTGGAATTCTTGTTACTGTGGATTAGAATGACTGCCTATTCGATCTAAATTTACTATGAAATGCCCCAGAGTGATACAGAAACAGACTAAGTCCCAGGTGGTCTTACAGAGGGAACTGTGGCCATGCTGGGAGAGGAAGGGACAGAATGACCTCCTCCTCATCATGTGATCCCACTAGGGACCCAAAGGCAGCTGAGAGAGAGCTAGATCTAATGATATCTTGTGTTTAAGGCTGAGATACAACTCAGAGGTTATCATTAAGCTGATAACCTCAGGCCCCATGGGAGTGTGGGTGTTGTAGCAGGAGCTAGTGAGAAGGGATGATGACCTTAAGAACCAGATGCTTCACCCCCACTCACTCCTACTTCTGGCAATTCAGCATTATGTTTCCCCCTGGAACTTGGATAAAAAGTTGGGGGAGAAGAGGGAAGACCCTAAATTTATTGAAATTAAATTTCCAACACACAGTAAAAAAGGATGCATGATACAATGTGATTTATACAAACATACAGATAGTTTTCTTGTACTTGTGAGTGTGTAAGTGAAGATTTGTAAGTGCTATAGCCATCGAGGAGGTGATGGGGTTCAGAGCAGTCTTCCTGGGGGAGCAGGTATCTGAGCTGAGATTTAGAGTGGATAGGAATGGGCCAGAAGGACTAGGATATTAGCAGGAGTTAGAAAGCACAGAGGAAAAGTATGCCCAGCAGAAGGGGTGGGTTTGTTCAAAAGCCCTGAGTACTGAGAATGTTATCAGTTTAGCATTTCTGGAGATTGAGCACAAAGTGTGAAAGGAGTGATGTAACAGGAGGTGAAGGGGAATGGTATGAATGAAGTTGTATGTGACTTTGTTTTACAGGTGAAAATCTCAGGGTGCCAGCCCCTGCTTACCTTTTCAGGCTCATGCCACTCCCCATTCCTCTTGTTTGCTCTGTTTTACCCAGATTGACCTTTCAGTTTTCCAGAAGTGATAAACTTCATCTCACCCCAGGGTCTTTAGACTATTCCTTTTCTTTACACTTCCCTTCCTCCTGACACATTAAGTTTACTTGTACTTGGAAATGGATGCAGTCCTTTAAATGATCACCTAGGAAAGCCATATACTTATTTATTGATATTATTCTGATAAACAGTTTCCAGACTTATCTTTAGAACCTATTTATGAACCATCTTAGAAAGTCCATGTTGTAACTTGTACTCAGACTTCCTTCCTTTCTTCTTCCTTCCTTCTTCTTCCTTCCTTCTTTCTTCCTTCCTTTCTTTCTTTCTTTCTTTTCTTTCTTTCTTTCTTTTTTCTTTTTTTTTTTTTTTTTACCTGAAGTGGTAATATAACACTGAGAATCATATCGTACTAAGCTTTGGATGATGTTTGTCTGTTTCCAGAAACCAACCCCATCTCTAATGGTGGGAGAGGGGGAGTTGTTAAGTTTTGCCAAAGGACTGAACCATAGGCCTTGAAGGTGACTGAAATGTGAGTCCTAGAAATGCTTTAAGCATGGGGTGCCTGGGCAGCTCAGTTGGTTAAGTTCAACTTGGCTGAACTCTTGGTTTTGGTCCTGGTTATGATCTCATGGAGGTCCTGGGATCAAGCCCTGCATTGGGCTCCAAACTCAGTGTGGAATCTGCTCCAGATTCTTTCTCCCTCCTCAGCCCCTTCTGCTCACTCTTGCTCTCTCTACCTCTCAAAGAAATAAATAAAATCTTAGAAAAAAAAAAAGGAAATGTTTTAAGCAGAAGCGGTATGTCATTGGAGTGAGTACTCTCTTAATGTGGTTCATTTGAACATTTGCATATGCTTATTAGAACACAAGTCTCATTATCTATAATCTCACATCCGATGGACTCCCTAGTGAGGTGACTTCAAAAGACCTATTTTTACTCAAATATATGGTAAGCAAAACCAAAGTACTTGCTTTTGTAACACACACTCATATAACACACATATATATCCCCCAAAGTAGCTATGCTGGTGGGATCTGAGTTTAACCATAGAACCCAGTGAGTTCTGAATTAAATCATTTAGATTATCATATCTGAACCTATTGACTACAAAATAAATACAGTAATAATTCTTTAGCCACTCAGTCACTATAGGCCAGTCAAGATAAGGAAATGTAGCTACTTCTTGAAGAAATAACCTTTTTGAATTCTATGAAGGATATTTCAGTTTTAACTTATGTCACTTCCTATTAGCAGGAAAAAAAGAGAAAGAAATCAAAGTAGAGGGATTCTGAGAAAATTAAATAATAAAATTTTGTCCCTAATTGGGACAATGAATAATTGGAAGAAATCACTATCAACGGAAAACATTTTAATGTTTTATTAATTTTACATCGGTGACAAAAACAAAAAAAAATCAAAACAATGGTAAATAGTTCAAAAGGAATATAAAAAAAAAAACAAAAGGAATATCCATTAAGCAACATTACTGAAATGAACTGAACATGATTTAATTTATCCAAGTTACTTTTAGCACCTAAGACATGGAACTAGTGCAGATGAACTTGTGTTCCAGGGGTTTATCTCCCATATGGTCATGTTTTCCCTAAATGTGGTAATATTACTTCACACACTGTGGACTCTCAGGGAAAACTGATGAATAAGAAGCTATGGCTTAAGCCTTTTAGGATAAGGTGAGATGCTTTGCCAGAAAAATACCCCAAAGGAAAAACATTTCTTTCTAAGATAATTTCTAATTATCTATCTCTATATTGATAATTTCTATTTCTATATTGATAATTTCTATTATCAGTTGATGTCTTAATGGCTCAAAACAGTCTTTTTAACCTTCTTTCTAGGAAGTATCTAATTGAACTTCAGCAGACTCACTGATTTTATAAATTTCATTGGCAGCAAATTCCACATATCAGCTAGACTCATACACACACAAATTTATTTTTCCCCATTTAAAATATTTTAAAATTAACTTTAGAAAATTCTTTAAACTTTTTTTACTTGGGGGAAATAATATTATTATTCTTTTACGATTTCATTGGTGGTCCTCTCTTAGTGTGGTCTCTTATACTCTTTCCCCAGGATGTTAAGTAGCAGTGGACTTCAGTTTTCATTAAATCTCTCAAAGAATTGGTTCAAGTGACTTTCCTTGGTTGGTCATCTGTGCACCAGATGGTGAGGGGATCCTCTGAAGAAAGTTTATGCAGGTAACTTGGTAAGTATAACAAACTTGATGTAGATTCATTTTCTCTTCCTTCACCTCAATGGAGACTTATAGTTTAGATAATCTATATGGAACTTTTTCTGTTCACAGGCATAATCAAGAGGCCAGTTTAGAGTTAGAGGTATATAAAGAGCACTAGCGTGGGATACAAGTGTTCTTGGTTTCAATTTTTGGCCAACCACCAGGTTGTTGTATTTACAAAATAATTCATTCAATTCCTTTGGGAGTTGGTTTCTTTATTGATTTGATTTTGTCTTTACCACTTTATAGCTTGTTACCAAAAATCATAAGAGGGGATATAAGCTTATCTTATTATTACTGCTTCTGTATTTAAGATTCCTTGAACGAAAAAAAAATTCAGGTCAGAAATTCTCATTTAAGATATCTTCGAGATTTTCAAGTATTTTTTTAGCATTGTATTACGAAGGCTTTCCCCAGGCACTTAATTGATAAGACTAAAAGAACACATAGATGTTTTCAATAAGTCAAAATAGAAACATACTTTTCATCATTGTCATGACTCTTTAAAATAGGTCTAAAACGTTGATGCACTTGAATTTGAAAGGCTTTTGTGAAACTAATCAAATAGCCTTCTAAGAAAGGATTTCTTGGCGGGGGTCAAAATTTTCCCAGGACCTTTTTTGTGGAGGGATTTCAGTGGAGGCTTTTTTAAGGGTGGGGCTCTTTTGGGGGTTTGCAGTGCTCTTGCTATCTTCACATGCTCATTGCAGTAATACTTGTTGCTTCCTTCCGACAGATGGATGAGCGTGTGTTCTGCTAGATCCATGCACTGGGCATGGACCCAGTGCCCATCTCCATGAGAGCAGTAGATCATGGCAGGTTTGTTGAGCTCCGTTGAATAAAATGGTACCCAAGTGTTGACATCCACATCGCAAGTAGGGCAGCATGTAATCCAGTAGCCTGTCTCCGACTCATCTTCCTCATCGTCTTCATTATAGGTGTCAAATGCATCATCACCATCGAAACTATTTGCTTCTGCGCTGAAACAAAACTCTTCTGAGTCTTCAAAGGGAGTGGAGTCCCCTGGATCTTCTGTTGATGTCTGACTATCTGCGAGTGTTTTCTGATCTTCATTCGCATCATCTTCAACACATTTCAACATATAGAAATAGAAAGCTTCTGAAGTAGCCTGTTTATTGTCTCCTGGTATTCCAAGGAAGACAGTTCCATTTCCCATGTTGCTCCCAAACCAGATCTTGCTGTGCTTAATATCTGGGGTCCAATCTGGAGTCTCCATCTCATGAATTTCTATCTTATCGCCCTCGAAAGACACCGTGTTGCAGACCAACCTCTTTTGATTTTCAAGCTGATAGCCACCAACGATAACAAATTCATCACTCTTTGTTTGAGTCAGGATTGCGCTGGAGACGGAGATCCCTCCTGGCAAAACTGTGCAACTCACAGCGGGGCTACCCAGTGGGAGATCAACTTTTATTCTGTATAGGTTGGCAGGGCGGATGTTATTGGCAAGTGAATGCCCTCCTAAGATATAAATGGTATCATTTCTGGCAATGGAGACGTGAAAAGATAGCCCATCCTGAAGTTCTGGAAGTAGGTATGATGTAGAGCACCCAAATTCAAAATCCACCAAGAAGATATGGGGCAGACAGTCAGCTACGCTATTCCATTTTTCCGTGGTTCTTTGGGCAGCAGGAATGTAAGACCGTCCTCCAAAGAGAACTCCCATGCTTCTCCCTTGACTATACACCATGTCAATGGAATGACCATATCTGGCTTCAGGAACATCTCCTTCCAGGTCTTTCTCGGTGCAGCGAAAGGTCACCTTTTTGTTGTTCTTGCCAACAACAGACATGACGTAAATCTTATCTGAAAGCTCGTTGTTTGGTGTTTTCCCTCCATGGATGATGTACTCATGCTTTCCAGATTCTAAGCTGCCTCTGAATATGCAAGTGGCCGGGTAACGAAGAGGAGGAAGGTAGCAGGAATCCTTGGAGAAAACTGCAGGCTTCAGTTTGAGATGGTTATGCTTTACATCAAAGTGGAAAACTCCAGTGGGGCAAGACCTCTTCGGCCAGCCTTTCTGGCCAAAGAAGAAAACTTGCCCATCAAAGTTCATCAGTGAGAAGCCTGGTTGAATTAAGGCCACGTTATTACTGACTGTTACCATCTGTAGTGACATATTTTCCAATCCTGGGTAGATCTTTTATTCGGAAGAACTGTAAAAAAAAAAAAAAAAGACTTATTGTATCTAGTCATATAAAAATCACTATGCTTGGATCATCTCATGTTTAAAAAGTCAAAAAAAAAAAAAAGTTCTTCTACAAGCTTGTTATTAGCTGAATTAGCAAACCCCAGGCAGTCAGGTAAGCAAAGAGCCCCAGAACCTTCCTTCTCAGTAGGCATCCAAGCAACTGGGACCTGTTTTAGACCAGGACCATCCTCCCTTAGGTTTCTGGGAATGGTAGTCCCTTCTCCCCCTCACCTTGCCCGCTTGCTGGCAGGAAGAACTACATTTCCCAGGAATCCGTTCTCCCGGCGAGGGTTTGCGCTGCCCCAAGAGAGGAGGCTCCTAGGATGCGTCCCCGAATAGAGACGCTCGGAGTGCGAAGTGATTAGAGATGCGAGCCCAGGCGGGAAACTAGGGGACGGGAGGTGAGAGTGGCTGACGCGCACCCCGCATGCGGGACTCGGGCGGGCCGCGGCAGCGGGGGGAGCGGCGGCTTCCGGGGCCTTGCGGATGGGGGGCCGGTGGGGAGCCCCGCTGCCGGGGGCCCCGGGGCGGTTGCCTGGCAACGGCAGCCTGGAGGACGCCGTGGCCGGGGCGTCTTTGCAGACTGGACGCAGCTGCACCCCCGAGCGTCCCTAGGATGCCGGGACCGGGCGGGGGGGCGTGCACCGGGGGCCCCGAGGTCCCCAAAGCCGTGCCCGCTTCACAGAAGCCAAGGATCCCCTGCTCGCCTGACCTTAGGGCGAGCCGCGACGACTCCACCCCCCCCCCCCCCCCCCCCCCGGTTTCTCGTCTTCCCCTTGCCTCCCCCTCCCTCCCTTCCTCCCTCCCCTTCTCTCTCTAGGAAAGCTGGTTCGTGGCTTGACCTCCTCCACAGCTCTTTGCAGCCCGGGACATTGGAAATGATTCTTTAACACCCGTCGCAAGGCAGGCCCCAGGACCATTCAGGAGGCTTCCTGCTAGTGTCACAGTATTTTCAAAAAGGCATTGACGGAGTAAGCTTGATAGACTTTTATTTACATTATTAGCACTCACCTTAGAGAGAGAGAGAGGCCAGGAGCCTTGATAACACAGGTGCAGTTTGCAGAGTGAGGTCACCTTAGACAGAGAGAGAGACCAGGAGCCTTGATAACGCACATGCAGTTTGCAGAGTGAGGTCAAAGGCACCGCAAGAGAACAGATTCCTGACTGTTGAAATTGTTACCTTGCTCCAAAAACAGCTCGAAGTGGAGTTTCTGCAGGTGCCTCTCAGGCCTTCAGAGTCTGGATTCAGACCCACCTGCTAACTCTATGAACTCGGCATTTAACATCCCTCTCTGTCTCAGATTTCCCCATCTGCAGATGAGATGATTACCCACCTCCTTGGTGGACGTAAGTCATGATTGGTAAAAATCAATACAGCATTTATTAAATCAGTGAGTAAGGCTCATAGAATGGGGCCTGGCACGCTGGTCGTCTTTATGATCATGCCTGGACTTCTCAACAGTAAAGATTGTTAGTGCCCAGGTACCTGCCAGTCACGGCAGGTGGTGTTTGTAACGTTGGAGATGGTGAGAAGGGATCCGGTCAGTGGGTGTAGACCCATTAACTTTGTAGACTGACGAGAATTGGATAAGCACATACAAGGGAGATGCTGGTGGTGAGCCCGAGTTAAATAACAGGAAATAATTCATTTATTCTTCTGTTCCCCTTTTTCTAGCCCTTCATTAAATATACAGACTTTGACGTCTGAGTCCAAACCTGGGCTCTGATACTTAGCTACCAAGGTGGTGTAACAATCTTGGGCAAGTCATTTTTTTTTTCCCTCTCTGTTCTTTCTTTCCTGTAAAATGGGAGGAGTAGTAGGACCTGTTTGTTGGGTTGTTTTGAAGGATAAGTGGGTTAACACATGTTAAGTCACGAAGCACAGTGCCGCTCGGCGCATTACAAGCATTTAATAAATGTCATCTGATCCTATGTTTTTATTCTCCCCACAGAGCTTCCTTGGACCATTTAGAATCTGTGGTCAGTCTGATGAGATGTTGGTGGGGCTTTTTGGCTTTGAAGCACTTTTGTATATCAGACGTAGTTGATGGAGAACTCAATGTTCTCTGCTTAGTGTAGCTGGGAAAGTCCTCAAGGTGTGCTAGTTTAATGATCCTCTTGAGAGTCATTAAGCCAAACGAGGACATGGTGAATGAGAAGGATTATTACTGAAGTCACGAAAGCAAGCCTGCCTCTTCTTCAGGCCCCGGTATTTGTAGGTTCAGCAACTTGCCCTACTAATGAAATAACACAGGCATTTTCTTTATGCGTGGCCTATCCAAGTATGCGTAAGACAAAGCCTTTGTGGACTAATAAAATGCTCTGCATTGGAATTAAAAGGAAATGTTGTTGACTCTCGATTCAGTAAACAAAAACCATAAGTGGTTGCACTCAGCATGGTATGTTGATGGTTGTCAGAGAGTTGTCCACTTTTGGGTGGAGGGAGCCCTGAAGCCAAACCTGTTCGTGTTAAACACCTCTGAAGACTATTATTGGGATATAAAGCAAACCATGCCGGGGTAATGGATTCCAGATCTCAAGGGATGAGCAAGCATACACCAGGAACACTTGCTTTTAAACAGCGAGGCTTTTTTTTTTTTTAAGTTTTCATTATAGCCCACTGGGTTCATTTTAGGGAATTCCGCTTCTCATGAGTGAAAAACATGATTACTGTAGATTAACAGACACATTTTTTTAGGCAAGACATAAGGAATACTACCCACTTTTTGTAGCTTAGTTTTTGGGTCCCTGAAGATTCCTGACCTTTTCTCCCTTGGATGTCCCGCTCTCGGTACACCTCATGATTTCAGGGCCCTAAAAACAGTCGTGAGTTTTATTACTGTTAGGATGAATTTTCTTTCCTCTAGTAACACAGTTCAAGGATTTGTGCGTTTAATTTTTAGAATACCCATTTTAAACCATGACTTAGAATTTAAAGAATAAACAGGAACATTGAAAGCATCTTCACATTATTTTGCCATATGTCTTTTTAGTTTTTGAAATTTGCTTTATTAAATGTTTTCACTGGCTGTAGATAATTGTATATTTTCCGTGGTTTTAATATGACTATATTAGTTGCATCTTGGTTTTTAAGAGTTTTTAGAAGGTTATACTAGAACTAAAATAATCTACTTTCTTTAAATAGGCTGGATAAGAAAGGGCAGCTTTTGAAAAAGAAGACACTGTTCTCCAGCTGAAGGAAGTTTCAAAGTCAACACATTAAAGATTCTTTTTAACAGACAGAAATAGAGGACCAATAAATTTATACAATTTTCCCAACCCCATGCTAACATTCCTCAGCAGGGAGGTTTTCATTTATTCACTGTGAAGCTAGGGCATAGTTGAGAATCAAAAGAGGGACTAATGGTGTGGGGTCTGGGTTTGTAGTTTCTTGTGTCTGAACTAACTCTTTCTTCCTTCCAAAGAAAGGTACTGTACTCTGAGGCATTAAATCTTACTGATCAGTGTTGCCCATGTTTTCCTGATTGCTCCAAAATAGCAGGTAACCTCATGTAGCTGCAGTCGTTTCGTGCATGAATTAACACTATCTTGCACAGCTAATCAGGTTTGAGGCATACATTATTTGATTTTTTTGCTGGCACTGAAGCTAGGATTAGGTCTTTTTTCTGACACTTAATGCCAGAGAAGCATTTACGTACTGAGATTAACACATGGGCTCTGATGCCACAGGAATTAAATCCTTGCAGCAGCCTGATACCAGAAAGCCCCATAGTTTCCAAATTTTATGGCATCCCTTCCCCATCTGTACACCCAATTCATCTGTAACTAACACGCTCCTGAAGTGGGGCATCATCCTTCCCTTAACGTTGACAAACGTGGGTGCCCATCTTTTAGCTTTGGTAGAAACGAAGGTATTGGACCTACCTGAAGGCCAGAGGGGATGCTCACCCCTCTCTGAATCTTTGCCGCTAAACCAGGTAGTAAATGTCAGCACTTGGGTAAGATTCACTGACTGCCCACTCTGACCGTGGCAGGCAGAAGGCGCACAGTAAAGAGAGCGTGTATATGTGCCTACAGATGTTGCAGTGAACACTGATCTAACGGGAGTAACCGACTGTGACCGTTTTTTTTTTTTTTTTTCTTTAGATGGTTCAGGGAGATATCCACCTGGGTATACTCTCAAGATTTAACTATTTCCTAACTGGTGAACAATAGAAATACAATCTACTATTTGTAAAGACCAAAACAAAACAAAACAAAACAAAAAAAAAACCACCAAGCCCCACAAGAACCATCTGGCTGAAACACCTGATTCTTATCTTTATTAAAAACATTTTATTTTTTTTATTTTATTTGAATTATTTTTATTTATTTATTTATTTATTTATGATAGGCACACAGTGAGAGAGAGAGAGAGGCAGAGACACAGGCAGAGGGAGAAGCAGGCTCCATACACCGAGAGCCCGACGTGGGACTCGATCCCGGGTCTCCAGGACCGCGCCCTGGGCCAAAGGCAGGCGCCAAACCGCTGCGCCACCCAGGGATCCCCTTAAAAACATTTTAGAAAAAAATGTAGAAGAAAATGAATATAATTCCTGTGACTTAAATAATACTGTTCAAATCAAATGAAACATTACTTTTCCTAAGGCAGAGACCACTAACACAAGTGCCAGTCATTTTGATCTTGAATTGTTCTTCAACAGTCTCATTTTCCTTAATGCGGAGCTCAGAAGTCATTGTAATTATTGGAGGCCTCCTACCAACTTTGTATCGGGAGCTGCTGTGTAATACTGTTCAGCAGAATGATTAAGAAAACGGGCTTTGGAGTCAAACTGACCTGGTTTTCTTCGCCAGCTCTGCCATTTGCCAGTGGAGTCATCCTAAACTCTAAGCCTCTGTTTTTCTGTCTCTGAAGTGGGGATGCTAGAAGTAGTCACCTCAAAGGATTGTTGCAAAAATATTAAGTC